ATTCTTGGTGTTTAACACAAACCTTAAAAAAAAATTGAGTAATCGCTCCTCTTTCTTGCCCTTGGCCGGGATAAAACCTTGTCAGATTATATGATAGAAGGGTTGGAAGACATTTCAAGACGATTTATCATGATGTAAGTCTAAGGTCATGAATAAAAATTAATAATGTCAGCGCAGCCATTGGTGATAGCTGACGTCATGCTCATGGTCAAATGGAGCAGCTCTTCACAGCCAAGCCTGGCTGCCTGACTGATGGTGCGGGGACAGAATATTTTGGTTTGGGTTTTTTAAAAAAATGATAGAAAAAAATGTGAAATAGCTGAGATATAGATATGTATGGGTTGCAGTCTTTCATAAAGAATCCTTTCAGCCTTGGTTTGTCCTTAAAAATCTCAAAGTAACAAGAAGCAGGTTTGTATGGATATATATATATATATATATGCCATTATAGAATTGAATGTTAATAAAATTCTTCCTCATTTATGTGGACATCAAGCAAGGTTCACATTTAAATTTCTATCTGGGACTGCATTAATCAACCAAAGAAAAGTAACATGGCCCTAAAATAACTCTAAATGTGTAAAACTTGTATCTCATGAAAATAAAGTTGTCACATGGAAATGGGTATGAAAAAAGGGTATCTTAAACAAAATTGCCTAGATTTGTAAGCTCTACAACAATTTATAGAGTAAGGGGTAAATCTATTCATTACATAAAACATATAAAGGTTTCCATATTTATATGCCTAATGCTTTTTCTTCCCAAGTAAATATCTGGGAAAGGCATTCATTTGAAGAAAGAACTCATGTCAGCAAAAAGGAAATGCCTACCTTCAATCTCTTTGCATATGCAAATGGAATTTTATAAATATTATAAAAGGCTAACCGTAGTCCCTATGGCAGGAGGGCCATAAAAAAGTTCTTAGAGAGTTAGATTTGAAAACTAAGATTTTATTTTATCTGTGATCTGGGCACTATTGTGGGCACATTATAAATAGTAACTCATTAATCCTCCCATCAATCCTGGGAGTGTCCTGTAATTACCCTGTTTCACAGATGAGGCACCTGAAGCACAGAAAACATTTTGTAGACAGTTCAGTTTTTGCCCTAGTAAACCTCAGGGCATTCCATTTACTCTCCCAAAGTACATTTAACTTTAACATATTTAAAGGATGCATGTTATTTTGATTCTTTATACTTAACATCAGTTCTTAAGAGACCCTATGGAGAGATGGCTCTGATTTTCTGTGCCCAACTTCTATGCAGGAGGTTTCAGGGCACAGGGGCTTTAAGAGTCCATCTATACTCATACATGTAAATACATGTGTACCAACTGTGCAGAAAGACTGATTTTTTTTAAAAGAAGAAAATTTAAGGTTACATTCTCATGGTTATTTTGTTCAGCTGTGGGAATCCATGTTCACAGATCTGCAGAGTAGGCTCAGAGTGCTTCAGTGAGTCTCTGACTCCTCTGAACCCAGCAAAACCAAAACATCCATTTACATTCATTTTTAAATCAAGGCTCTTGAAAGTGGCAAGGTTCAACTGTAAGGGCTAATGTCTTAGACCTTTCCCTGAAGCCCAGCAGTGCTCCGAGGGCAGTCCTATACATATAGGCTCTGCCTCTAAAACCCTGGGCGGTGCCAGTTTTGAGCTCTAAACATCTCCTGGCTTGTGTTACCTGCGAGTGATCAACAAAACCTGTAATAAATACGAGAAATGTAAACCACTTTAGCCCGCTGTTTTTTAATGAGAAATTCTGGAACTCATATACGGTTTGGTGAAAGGGGGTTAAATAAGGAAAGAGGTGGGACTGGAGTACATTTTCCATGAGTCAGTCATAAGCAAAGCAGAGTGGTGGTGAAGTTGCCCCCTCGTGACTAAAACCAGACACCCAGGCTTAAGAACCTGCTCTCAAGGTTAAGTGTGATACTGAGGTGGGCAGGACAGCATTTTTACTCACTAGCACACTTGAGTCCCTTGATTATAGTCTCCTGTCTTAAACGGTTCAGGCTTAAGGAACAGACTTTTTAGGAGATCACTCTTGAGCATGAGAACTTCCAGAGAGCCAGGAGGCATAGCTGTCCACAGGAAACCTTTCCAGCCTAGCACCAGGGAAACACAAACAGAGCCAGACTCAGCGCAGAAGACTGGGGGTAGTTCTAAGGACACCGCAAGAAATAACCTCAGAGAATGCCGCATTTGTGTGTATCAAATGTGTATTTGAAACCCACTTTCATCTCTTCCGTACATTGCCCTTGATGAACAACAGCTGCAGACTTGCATTACCTACAAGGATAGAAGTACATTGCTTGAAGGTTTGATGAGACCAGCACCTCTTAAGGTAATCAAATGAGAGTTTATAAATACGTCTACGCAGAACGGAGGGGCTTTCACACCTCAGGGCGGTAGAGGCACCCCCCAGGGAGATCCACTTCTGGCTGTCACCCGAAGCAAAGGTGGCGGTGGTCTGTGGGAGGCCAAAGCATCAGGGCAGTGAGCTGCTGGGAAGTGCCTGGAAACCAGACTACTCTCCTTCCTCTCTGGGCTCCGACCCCATCAAAGCATTCTGTCTAGCCTGATGGACCCCCTTAAATATTTTATTTTAATCACCCTAGAAAGGCTCAAAAAAAAAAAAAAGCCCAGCAACAGAAGAACAAACTCATTCATGGCCGAAGCACCGCCAGCTCCCTCTGGCTGCTGGGGCAGAAGTGCATGGCCCCTGAGACTTTCATCACACACCTGCCACATTCCATGTGCTCACGGCAAACTCTCAAGCCCGTCTGATTTCATCACTCTGCCCAGAATTTATGAAACAAAGGTTACATTCCCATGACTGCTGCATGAAGGGTCTTCTGAGGTCGGGAGGCAAGAACAAACAAAATTAGCATGCCTATCACATCCATCCTCTTCTAAGCCGCTTCCAGGTCTCTAATCCCCAAACATCTCTACTGTGCATACCAAGAACATTCCTCTTCGATGTGGATCAACATGGTTCATGCACAAAGGGCTCTGAACCCTCCCTGCCTCCAAGAAAATCATTAACCATTTCTACAAGTCAAACCGCCTGGCACGGCAGACACCTGCTCAAATCAAGTCTCTAGGGACCTAGAAGTGTTCATGATTCTATCATAAATGTTTCTTCACACATCCTGAGAGTAAAATTTTATCTGACCCACAAAAAAGGAATACACATTAACCTTCCAGTGTAAACGGTGCTACAACTATCAGTACACTGAACTGTTTCACAATTAGTTCAAGGGAACTGATGTTGCCAAAAAAAATGGATGGATCAGATGCATGTAAAGTTATAAAAATTATAAGATACACACTGTATTTTACTTTACTATGGGATTACTTTTCATTTCGATTTTGGAACGTAGAGTGGACATCTTGCAGGAAGCATTCCCACACATTTCACTCAGGAGGAAAGGAGATAGACATTGTGTGAGGGGCTTGAGGCCCACAGCTCATGCCTACGAAAGGCCCACCTCACACTTCTGTCTGCCTCTCATACTTGATATTATTACCAACAGTTTATGCTATAAAGCTCCCGTTTCTCTCTAATACTTCACCACAAAGATTCACATTGTAGATCATGTGAATATTTTTACTGAATCTGTTCATTTCAAAACAGACATTACTAGACTCCAGACAGAATAGGAAGTTGGACAAGCAGGGTATTTTATGTTCAGATCATTTACATGCCTATTGTCTGGAGAGAAAAGTTCCAGCCATCTATTAGAGAAACCTTTACGACTTAGGAACAAGGGCTGAAAGAGCGGAAGCAGTATGCTCACCTTTTGGAAATTCAGGTATTAGGCTCAATTCTGAGGGCTAATAGTGTGCACACTGTTCAAGAGTGACACTAAGGTATACATTAATCTTAGGGATATTAGGAGTGATTCTTAAATTAAAAACAAGGAAAAAAATATTATTGTGGCCTGCAGGCCAGGAGGATTTGAAGGGGCAAGACTTTGATCCATCATACAATAACCAAACGTGCCACAGAAGAATTCTACATGTATTATTTCATTTAATCCTTACAGCCTGCTGAGCAACACAAGCAAAACACAGACAAGGGAACTGAGGCAAAGTGCACAGATACTTTCTAAGTCAACCACAGTGATCAAACTCACCCCAACTGTTCACACACGCGAAAATTCAGAGACATGAGCAAAGTCTTTTTTGAGGGACCTGGATCAATTCTTTCCTAAGAGTAGAGGGTCACTACTTCAGCTATGTTGTCTACAAAGAAAGCCAGTTGGCAAGAAAATATTTCAGCCACAGAACTGCTATTCACATGGCGAGTCCCCAGCGATGTCTACCCCAGCCTGACCCAGGGTGACAACCACAGTCACTGAAGTGAGACTCTAGGCCTAACACTCCACCCAGAGAGTTCGAGGACAGGGAAGTGAATCTACTCTGTTTTCCAGAAAACTATAATCTTTGGGTGATGCTAAAATTCTCCTTCTGAAAAACCAAACAGCCCTCCTTAGCTCTCTCAAAATTACATGGAAGGGTGATCAATGTGGAGAATTTATTTTTGACATAGAAGCAGATTTCCTGACACCTGCATCTCTCCCAAGGGGCCCTGGACCATATCTGAGTACGCAGAGGTGCTGGGACAGCGGCGCTGGGGCAGTGGCCCTCCCCGTGTGAGTCAGGCGAAGCTCCTCTGCTTGAGTTGAGCAGTGAGCCAAGGAGGATGGTATCTGCGTTCTTCAACGCTGCATTTCATTCTGCACGTACCAACCCATTAAAACAAACAGATACGCCGTGTCTTTGGTCACAGATGGGAGAAAATCAGCCCGGAGGTGGATATGTCGTCACACACGGAGCCAGGATATGTGATCCAGGAGGTGTGTGAGGGGGAGTTAATACCATATGTCGTTTGACTGCTGTGGGCCCGCTCCATGTCAACAGCAACACACTCTTCCAAAACAGCTCCGACATCCTCCCTGTCACCGTGGTGCTCCGCCAAATCAATAGGACTCTTACCAGGTACTGAAGTCGTTGGCGCTCAGTCTCGGGGGTGAATTCTGAAGACATGGGGATGATTTCTCCGTTTCTAATGATTATGGCCCTGAAATGGTGAAAATGCACTGTTAGCACCCAATCTCATAAGTACCTCAATGCCCAAGGTATACTCTTTCCTCCAACCTGTATGGCAAAGTTTACTGCTACCAAATCTGGATCCCTCACCACATTGTAGGCATCTTACTCTAAGAGCATCCCATTATAGTTAACTTATGTCTACTTCTTCTGCTAGTTTGGAACTGTGCCTTAATGCCCAGAACCAAGCATACTACTTGGCGCATAATAGATGCTCAGTGAATAAATGGATGAATAATTGAATGACCCCACAGAGGCTCACACTAGACTAGTTCTCTCCAATAGGGCTTGTTGCGATAATGGAAATATTTTAATCTGTGCAGTGCAATATGGCAGCCACTAGCCACATGTGGGTAGTGAGCATTTGAATTATTGTTACTGCAGCCGAGAAGCTGGATTTTAATTTATTTTTAATTAGCTTAGCTTTAAGCTTAAGCAGTCCAAGTGGCTAGTGTATAACGTAGCAGACAGTACAGTACAGCTCCAGGTATTGTTACTCAAACATCTGCAGGCCTGTAGCACTGGCCTCTTCAGAGAGCTTTTTAGAAATGCAGACTGTTGGGTTCCACCCATGAGAGCATCAGAGCCTGCACTGTAAGAAGATCCCCGGGAGAGTCACAGGTGCATTAAAATCTGAGAATGCCTGCCTAGACTCTTGGTTTCTAGGGTAATATCCTGGGTCCAGAAAAAAACAATTTCATCTCATCTTAAAGGTCAAGAAATTCATATACCCCCAAAAATGTGCCCAAGAGCTACTGCCAACTCAAGGACTTGTCAGAGAACAATGCTCCCCAGAGCAGATGTCCAAAGGACAGGCTGCAGGATCAGTGACCATGGAGCCACCTTTCCCAGGACTGTTCTGGGCAGAACTGCCTATTCTGAGAGCTTCTTGCTCCAAAGGGGTTGCTGACAGTCACTTTTCAGCCATCGACTGGTTATGGTGGAAGCTACCATTTCTACAGCAAAGTAAAGTGGACCCGGCACTGTGTTCTGTGTGAACCCCACAGCTCCCTAGTGCCAGGGGGCCAGAGATCTGAAGGCCCAACACACTCCGCTGTGAAGACCCACAAACCCGGGAAATGCCTTCAGTGAGCTCAGCTCTGGGTGATGCCTTGCTGACTTTAGGGAAGGCTTCGTGCTTTGCACCCAGAAGCTGCGGGCGTCTCTCCTGCCCCTGTAGAGGCAGTCCCTGACTTAGATAAAAGCTTTGTATGTGGCTGCAGCTGTTGCAACCCCCACCCCCTTGCCACCTGAGCCCAGTTGCTGCTGTCATAGAAACTGGTGGAGGGGGCGGGCAAGGGACAAGACAACAACAAAATCTTGGGCGCTTCAGAGAATTTATGAGTCTAGGAGAAAAACAATGGAAGCTGTGAGAAAATGGAAAATTTCCGGGGAGCTGATTCTGCAAAGAAGATGCCTTCTGCTGTAACAGTCATACTTTTCCTTTTACTATGGTGCCCAAAACAGGACAGATTAAAAATTCCTTCCTATAAACCCAGAGCCACTTGTAAAATGCAATTACCTCCAATTACCTCCCTCCCGTCAGGAAAGGCGATACCCACCATTCATAAAGCAGTGTGTTAATCTGAATTGCCTGTGTCCTAATTATGGGCTGAGAATGACAATAGGAAGTAGGGGTTTTGATAGAGGATGGAGAACCTGAAAGGAAGGTCTTGGTTAGGGCCTAATCTTAAAGTAGCAAAAGGGCCCCGAGAACATGGGGAACTAGAGCCAAACCCGCGATGTACTGAATTCTAAGGCAACCCTGCATTTCCAAATTCTACTTAAAACTAATCTTAGCCCTTTGTCTTCCCTTTTTCTACATGCAGGGAGACCCGACCCTGCATTCCAGTTTCCAGGTTTGAACTAGGAAGTTGCATATCTGGGAGGAAAGTAGAAGAAAATGAGTAAAAGGAGGCAGGTAGGGAAGAGAGAGCATAGGGTCAGAGGCCGGGAGGGAGGCGGCTGGGAGTCTCAGCGTGGGCCTGTGGGGCGGTGCCAGCAATGCCCATCAGGCTGTGGAAGGGGCTCCTGCAGGACCCATAGGGCAGGAGGTCGGAGGCCTCATCTGGCTGGTCCACTCCTGAATTCCAAATGCTGAGCACGGTGCCCATCACATAGCAGGAGCCCAGTGAATACTGGCCAAATAACAGAACAGAGGAGAGCATTTAGGAGAAGCTTTTCCTTGAATCTGAGGCAGGAAGAGATTAGAACCAAGAGGCAGCAGACGCTCACTTACTCAAGTAAAGTGGGTCGACTTCACAGGGTCACGAGGGGCCCCTACCCAGAAACGCGTCTGCTCCCACAGCTCTCCCCCTCTTCTCTTCCTGTCCAGGGTGAGTGCACCCATCACTCCCACCCGGGGTCTTCCCTATGTTCCTTATTCCCTCTCTGTACCCCCAGCCTCTCCCTGCACTGCCTCTCTCTGCCCGTGGTCCAAAACCACGCTCAGACACTGTGTGTTTAAAATCAAACAAAATGAAGCCCAAACCAAACAGATGACGCTCTCCTAACACAAAACCCACCCTCCGGCTCTGTTCTCTTTTCTCTCCTACTGAGACAAAGTTCACAGGATAATCTGCACTCAGGGCCTCCGTCTCCTCTTCTCCCATGGGCTGGGGGGCAAACCCATCCTTGCCCTTCTGTCTTCCCAGCTGCTCTCCTGAGTCGCTGACGGCCTCTCCGCTGCTCTGACCCCTGGCCCCGACCTCACTCCCATCTCTGTGGCAGCAATGGACAGTTCTCTCCCCACCCTGGCTTCTGGAATGTTCCTTCTCCTGGTTTCCTTCCTGCGTCCCAGAACACTCCCTCTCAGACCCCTGTAGGCCTCTTTTGGTGTTGTGGGTGGCCATTTTTCCTCCCCACCCCTCTCCCTGGGCAATCTCACTCCCCAACTCCATAATGCCCAAGATCAGGTAGAGAGGCCTTTCCTACATGCTCCCTTAGCCTGACATGTCTTCCAATAAAGGAGCTCCATATTCACTGAGGACTTAATTTTCTGCCTTCCGTGCTAACCTATAAGCTCCTAAGGCAAGAACCATGTCTGTCATACTCAGCACCACAGCCACTAATGTACACAGGGCCGGGCTCCTATAAATAGGACTGGCTATGTGATTTCCAGGGCCCAGGGATAAATAAAAATGCAGGGCCTCTTGTTTAAAACTTAATGAGATCTTTAAAATGGTGTTAGCAGAGCATTAAACCAACGGTGGGGCCCCTCTGAGAGTGTGGCTCTGTGACCGCACAGGTCACATCTTGCCACCTGAGCCCAGTTGCTGCTGTCATAGAAACTGGTGGAGGGGGCGGGCAAGGGACAAGACAACAACAAAATCTTGGGCGCTTCAGAGAATTTATGAGTCTAGGAGAAAAACAATGGAAGCTGTGAGAAAATGGAAAATTTCCGGGGAGCTGATTCTGCAAAGAAGATGCCTTCTGCTGTAACAGTCATACTTTTCCTTTTACTATGGTGCCCAAAACAGGACAGATTAAAAATTCCTTCCTATAAACCCAGAGCCACTTGTAAAATGCAATTACCTCCAATTACCTCCCTCCCCTCAGGAAAGGCGATACCCACCATTCATAAAGCAGTGTGTTAATCTGAATTGCCTGTGTCCTAATTATGGGCTGAGAATGACAATAGGAAGTAGGGGTTTTGATAGAGGATGGAGAACCTGAAAGGAAGGTCTTGGTTAGGGCCTAATCTTAAAGTAGCAAAAGGGCCCCGAGAACATGGGGAACTAGAGCCAAACCCGCGATGTACTGAATTCTAAGGCAACCCTGCATTTCCAAATTCTACTTAAAACTAATCTTAGCCCTTTGTCTTCCCTTTTTCTACATGCAGGGAGACCCGACCCTGCATTCCAGTTTCCAGGTTTGAACTAGGAAGTTGCATATCTGGGAGGAAAGTAGAAGAAAATGAGTAAAAGGAGGCAGGTAGGGAAGAGAGAGCATAGGGTCAGAGGCCGGGAGGGAGGCGGCTGGGAGTCTCAGCGTGGGCCTGTGGGGCGGTGCCAGCAATGCCCATCAGGCTGTGGAAGGGGCTCCTGCAGGACCCATAGGGCAGGAGGTCGGAGGCCTCATCTGGCTGGTCCACTCCTGAATTCCAAATGCTGAGCACGGTGCCCATCACATAGCAGGAGCCCAGTGAATACTGGCCAAATAACAGAACAGAGGAGAGCATTTAGGAGAAGCTTTTCCTTGAATCTGAGGCAGGAAGAGATTAGAACCAAGAGGCAGCAGACGCTCACTTACTCAAGTAAAGTGGGTCGACTTCACAGGGTCACGAGGGGCCCCTACCCAGAAACGCGTCTGCTCCCACAGCTCTCCCCCTCTTCTCTTCCTGTCCAGGGTGAGTGCACCCATCACTCCCACCCGGGGTCTTCCCTATGTTCCTTATTCCCTCTCTGTACCCCCAGCCTCTCCCTGCACTGCCTCTCTCTGCCCGTGGTCCAAAACCACGCTCAGACACTGTGTGTTTAAAATCAAACAAAATGAAGCCCAAACCAAACAGATGACGCTCTCCTAACACAAAACCCACCCTCCGGCTCTGTTCTCTTTTCTCTCCTACTGAGACAAAGTTCACAGGATAATCTGCACTCAGGGCCTCCGTCTCCTCTTCTCCCATGGGCTGGGGGGCAAACCCATCCTTGCCCTTCTGTCTTCCCAGCTGCTCTCCTGAGTCGCTGACGGCCTCTCCGCTGCTCTGACCCCTGGCCCCGACCTCACTCCCATCTCTGTGGCAGCAATGGACAGTTCTCTCCCCACCCTGGCTTCTGGAATGTTCCTTCTCCTGGTTTCCTTCCTGCGTCCCAGAACACTCCCTCTCAGACCCCTGTAGGCCTCTTTTGGTGTTGTGGGTGGCCATTTTTCCTCCCCACCCCTCTCCCTGGGCAATCTCACTCCCCAACTCCATAATGCCCAAGATCAGGTAGAGAGGCCTTTCCTACATGCTCCCTTAGCCTGACATGTCTT